TTTAAGGCCACTGTCTCCTTGGTGATTTTCTGTCTGGAAGATCTACCTATTGATGTCAATGGGCTGTTAAAATCCTCACCTGTGACTATATTACTTTCAATCTCTTCCTTTATGTCCATCAAGATTTGCTTCACATATTTAGGTATTCCTATGTTGGGTGCGTACATGGTATATACTGTCTTTTGTATTGCTTTTTGTCATTATGTAGTATCCTTCTTTTCCTCTTAGCCCTTGTTTTAAAGTGCATTTTGTCAAATATTACTGCACTGTGCGGTGGCTAGTTGGGGCATGCCGCCACAGGGGAGTGCCGCTAGGGTCACCGCTTCTACTGGCCCCGGGAAGCAACCGCCGGGCTGTGGGGGAAGCAGTGCGCTGCAGGGAGCAGGGTACTCCCTGAATCTGAGGGAAACCGGCGAGGGCCAGCTGAGAAGGGAGGGCTCTGAATCCCGCAGAGCCCGTCCCGGGGTTGTCACTTGGAAGAGGGGAATAAACACGAGTTGTTGCAAACACTTCATTTGCCAGGAGAGCAGATGTGAGCACTTCCCTCTTAGTGGAACAGGCCGTGGCACATCCTTCCAGTAGGGAGGGCCCCGTCGCCCTTTGTTCCAAGGCTTTTATTGAAAATCTTATCAGTCGGGCTAGGTAACAGGAATGCATATGTTATCTCATTACATTACTATGTTAAGTTTCGCAGAGAATGTATGATGCTTTTAAGAAGTGACAGGAATACACTGATTTACGTGGATCCGAGAGACTATTATCAACAAGTGAAAGACATAAAGGCGCCTAACGATATAGGTTAAGGGGTGTAAATAATGATGTCCTTCTCAGCATGAGCCAGCCAGAGCTTTGAGGGAAGAACAAAGCACACTTTAAAGAATTTATTTTTAGGCCTGATTTCCCTGGGAACCGCCAGATCTGATTTAGGGCTGATTCCTGCATTGTTTCAAGCCTGAGACAGGCAGGGGGAGGGAACTACCAAGAGATAAGACTGCTTTCGGCTATAATGAGGACTCCGGCCATGTCCAATCCAAGCCGAGAGGTGCAGGAGCCTTTTTGCCCCTTCTCCGTGTCCCCCAATTTCTCATCTGCTGCCCATGCCGACTAGGATCTGTCTTAAGTTGCCACTCCCCTGAGGGGTCTTACCCATCATTGATGTCCAGTCCTCCATGGCAAAGCAGAGGCAGGAGCTATGCCCCTGCCAGGAGGGACAGGTTATGTCTCCTCAGGAGCCTGTTTCTCCAAGGCCTCCTGATTATTTCCAGTCTTGGGGCCCTCCAGCCTGTCAGAGTTACAGTTCCTGAAACCAGGCAGGGCGTTTCCCAACAAAATATTAAGTACTGCTTCCTGAGCTTTTTAAAAAAATTTCCATTTGCATGAAATATCTTTTTTTACCCCTTTAATTTTAGTCTGTATCTATCTTTCATTCTGAGTTGGGTCTCTCATAGACAGACTACTTTGGGTCTTACTTTCTTATCTATTCATCTACCCTGTGTGTTTTGATTGGAGCATTCACATTTTAAAGTGATTATTGATAGATATGTACTTATGGCCATTTTATTCTTTTAACTATGTTCCTCTCTTTTTTCTCCCTTCTCTTTCTTAAAGGAGGCCCTTTAACATTTTTTATAATATTGGTTTGGCAGTAACAAACTCCTTTAGCTTTTTCTTTTCTGGGAAGCTCTTTATTTCTCCTTTAATTTTAAATGATAACCTGCTGGGTAAAGTAATCTTGTTGTAAGTCCTTGCTTTTCATCACTTTCCATATTTCATGCCAATTCCTTCTTGCCTGAAACGTTTCTGTTGAGAAATCAGCTGACAGTCTTATGGCAGCTTCCTTGTAGGTAATTATCTGTTTTCCCCTTGTGGCTTTTAAGATTCTCTCTTTGTCTTTAACCTTTGCCATTTTAATTATGATGTATCTTTTTGTGGGCCTTTTTTAGGTTCATCTTGTTTGGGAGTCTCTGTGCCTCCCAGAATGTGTGTCTTTTTCCTTCACCACCAGGTTAGTAAGCTTTCAGTCAGTATTTCTTCAAATAGGTTCTTGATCCCTTGCTGTCACTCTCTCCTGGTACCCCGATGATGTGGATGCTGTTACACTCCATGTTGTTTCAAAGTCCTTTAAATTATCCTCATTTTCTAAATTCTTTTTTCTTTTTGCTGCCTTGACTGTGTGTTTTTTCTACTTTGTCTTCCAAATCACTAATCTGAACCTCTGCTTCACCCAATCTAGTGTTTATTCCTTTTCAGTGTATTCTTCATTTCAGATATTGTATTTTTCACATTTAGTTGGCCCTTTTTTAATGGTTTCTATGTCTTTTTTAATCTTGTTGAATATACATATAGCCATTACTTTGAACTCTATATCTGATAAATTGTACATAATATTTTCTTTTATTAGCTTTTTATCTGGAGATTTTTTTTCCTATTCTTTAATTTGGGGCCTATCTCCCTATTTTGGCTGCCTCTTTGTGCTTGTTTCTATATATTAGATAAATCCGCAAGGATTCCCAGTCTTTGTGGGATGGCCTTATATGGTAGGTGTCTGGTGGGTTCAGTGGTACAGTCTCCTTGATCACCTGAGCTGGGTGCTCCAGGAATGTCCCTTGTGTGGATTCTGCAGACCCTCTTGTTATAATTGAGTCTTGATTGCTATTGGCTTGTTTGTGCATGGGATCGACCTTTGGGCTGGTGTGAGGCTCATCCCCAACCACGGCATGCATGGTGCTAACCACATGAAGCAGAATTCTCCTCCGCAGGGTTTGGTGCCTGCCGAGATCTCATTTTGGATATGCTGCTTGTGAAGCTTGTTGGATCCTGCTTTACTATTGTCTGAAGCTGGCCACTGTGTGTGTTGGTTCTGGGCCTCTTGGGAGGTACTCTGGTGCAGACCAATGAAAGATGCTGCCTGTGACTGGCCCTCAGCAACCGGTTTGGAGCTACAAGTGATACAGAGTTTGTGGCTGCCTCTGCTGGACCTGGGTGTGTGCAGAAAGGACCAAGCTGCTCACCAAGGCAAGCTTTTACCAGCACCAGGCCTTAGGACACATTCATCTGCCTCTGCCTGCCGGCTGCTTGTTAGGCTCAGTTATCCATCCATTTGGATTCTGATATTAGGCATGAGCCTGACAGCTTGTCAGTGAATTTTTGGATATTACACCAAAGGACATGCAACGAAAGAAAAATGAAATAAATGAACTACATCAAATTAAAAAGCCTCTGCTCAGCAAAAGAAACAGTCAACGAAATTAAATGGCAACCTGTTAATGGGATAAAATATTTGCAAATCATATATCTGGTAAGGAATCAATATCTAAAATATATACAGAACTCATACAACTGAGCAAAAAAAAAAACAATCTGATTATAAAATGAGCAGACATACTGAATAGATACTTCTATTCAGATGGCCAACAGGTGCATAAAAAGATGCTCAACGTCGCTAATCATCAAATCATCAGGGAAATGCAAATCAAAACCACAAGGAGATACCATCTCACACATGTTAAAATGGCTATCATCAAAATCACAACAGAGAACGAGTGTTGATGAAGATGTGGAGAAAAGGGAACTTCTCTGCAGTGCTGGTGGGAATGTAAATTGGTGCAGCCACTATGGCAACAGCATGGATTTCCTCAAAAAGTTAAAAACAGAACTACCATATGACCCAGTAATCCCACTTGTGGATATATATCCAAGGGAAATTAAATCACTATCTCAAAAAGCTATCTGCAACCTCATGTTTATTGTAACCTCGTTGACAGTAGCCAATACAGAGAAACAACCTAAGCATCCATGAACTGATGAATGGATAAAGACCATGTGGTATATATGTACACAATGGAATATTATTCAGCCATGAGAAAGAAGGAAATCCTTACATTTGTGACATGGAGAGACTTCAAAAACATCATGTCACATGAGATAAAGCAGACAGAGGAACACAAGTACTGTATGAATTCACATATATGTGGACGTTAAAAAGGCAGAATAGGAATAGAAATTAGAATGATGGTTGTCAAGGGCTTCAAAGTGTACATATTTCCAGGTATAATATGAATAAGTTCTGGGGATCTAATGTACATCATGGTGATTATATTGTCTCCACTGTACTATATGCTTGAAAGTTACTAAGAGAATAGCTCTTAAGTGTTATCATCACAATAAAGAAATGGAAATTATGTGCAGTGATAGAGGTGTTAGCTAAAGCTATGATGTTAATCATCTTGTAATACACAAATGTAACAAATCAAGAGGATGCACACCTTAAACTTATACAATGTTATATGTCAGTTATATCTCAATAAAGCTGGGGAAGAAATGTACTATTTTAGAAATATCAGTACTACATTAGTACTTCTGAAAAGCACTAACCCTTGTACATAACATTTTCTCCTATTGAGACTGATATTTTGATGTGAAATTTGCTTTGTCTTTTAGCAATTTATACTTGTAAAAGGATCTTATTTAACTAATTTTTAAAACTGAACATTATCAACTTAATTTTCTTGTTTTATTTAAAATGCTCTGGCTCCTACCTACCCCCAACCATCATTAAGTTAATTAGTAGCCTAACCTTAGGTTACTTCTAGATTATGCTATGTACTCTACTGAAAATGCTAAGTCACTCTCATATTTGAGTACAGAATGGGGCAAAAGTAAGTTTACAGTTGTGAGTATGTGGAACACAGTTCATTCTTTATTCTTGTCTTATTATTTATTATTGTATTTTTCCAAACAACTGTAAACCTGTATTTGTGTATCTATTACATATAATAAAATGTAATATAATTTTATATATAATATAACTTAAAAATGTATATTATATCTTTCCAGTCTATCCAGTTAGCAAAACAAGCAAAATTTTGAATTATTAGGGCTGAGTAAAACATTTTCTTTCTGTTGTGAAAAATATTATAAAACAAGACTCTGATTGGCTGAAACCTAAGAGATTTTGATTTATGAAAGTGGTGTATACATTCCTTTAGATGAACCCTTACCTTATACACTTTTTTCATCATGCTTAGAAGAGCTTCAACATTATAGTTACTCTGATTTATGCAGTTCCAATAACACAGTTGAGCAATGATGGCTGATTTAAGCATCTGGACCAGTGTGTTGAGAGAAGATTCTTGCAAAGTGGCCCAACACTGCTCTGGGGGGTATAAAATCAGCAACAATAAATACATACTCCCTCAAATCCCCCCAAAGAAACCCCTCTCAGTTTCTACTGTGTTCTTTAATGTGAGAAATAGATAACATTTTCCATTTCTGATGAAATAGGCCATAAAATATGTTTTCTAAGGATATCATCCTGGACATTTATTATTCACAGGAAACATTTTTTTCCATGATTAAGTATCATTGGCATTAAAAGCTCAAATTCAGGATTCTGAAGAAATGTGTTGACTATTCATATTTATGCCTGATTACTTGATTGATTTCATGATTTTCAAACTGAAAATTCTATGAGTTATTTGTAAAGTCTGAAAACATACATAGGTGAATACACACACATACACATACATACATATACCATGTCATCAAAGATACTTTCAATCTGTAAAAAATAATATCTATGTCTTCACACTTTATGAACACCAGGTATTTATGAATATATTTTTAAATAATATCAGAAAACAATATTTTAATATAACTGAGATTAGAAACCAGATTATTGTACCTTTAAAGGACAATTCTCAGAAAACAAACCTATCAAATGTTACAATATGTTTTCCATCTTATGTAATTAAAATAGTACGACCCAAATGCACAAATTCCATAAATGGATCCAAATACACATGAAACTTTAGTATATGACAAAGGTGGCATTGCATATTAGTGGGAATGAAACAGGTCATTCAGTAAATGTCTGGGCACAGGTGAAAACTGATCCGGAAAAAAATAAAATTTAATCACGATAAATTTCATATGAATCAAAGATTTAAACATAAAATTGAAACAATAAAAATTCTAGTGAGAGGATGGGAATGCTTTTGTTTGTTTTAGAGTGAGGACGTCTTCTTGAAGTATGACCCAAACTCAGAAACCATAAAGGAAAACATTAATATAGTAGGCTTAATAAAAATGTTTAAAAATAATTATGCATGGCAAAAATGTCACAAAGTAAAAACAGTTTTAATAAATTAAAGAAAAAAATTAGTAACTCATATTATTGGTGAAGGGAAAAATTGTAAGATATTGTTAATAAAGGATTAGCTGACTTAATAGTTTAAAACCTCCTAAGGAAAAAAGAAATACTAACAACAGATGGAAAAATAGGCAAGAAGGAAGAACTGATAGTTCTCAGAATATGATATACAAATGGAACTGAGATATAAGAAAATGAATACAACCTTACTCATAAAGAGTAAATTAAAATTAAGAGATTTTTTTTTTTCAGAATGGAAAAGACCAAAGTTCAATAACACTGTAGAAAAATGCATGGGCTAATTGTTCTCATATTTGTTCATGGAGCATAAACTGATACATCCTCTGTCAGTGTTGCCATGTTGCCCAAACTCCAGGGGTGCAATTTACCTAGACTGTAATATAAACCGTGGCCAATTAATGTTGGGCAACATGGTGGCCCAAATGTCTGTGGACAGCCACTTGGCAAAATCTCTTAAAATTTAAAATGCATATTCAATTTGACCCAGTAATTTTGCTTTCTAGAATTTTTCCTGCCTCTATAAATTTATATATGTACAAAGAAATGCATGTTAGCATTATTATGAGAGCAAAAGTTTAGAAACAACTATTTGTAGTATATCCTCCTGATAGAATACTACTTAGCCATTATATATTATATAATAAGGCAGTTCTATAGTTCTAATAACAGAATGTTCTCCATGATATACTGTCATGTGGGAAAAAGCAAGTTGCCAAAGAATGTGACTAGTATGCTACCATAAAAAGAAAGAAACAGTACATTCTTTCAAAGGTTACACAAGGAACTACCTTCTGTAACTGCTTTCTGGGAGGGGAGCCGGGTGGCTTATATTTCACATTATATATCCTTTGTAATTTTTAGGTTTTGGATCTTGAACACTAGCTTAAAATTGTAAAAGGACATCTTATAGTAGTGAATAAAATAAACAAGAACACAAAGCTTAACATTTCTTTTTTATCACCCCTGGTTAAAGGTCTAAAGTTTTATTGAAAACAACATGAGCAAAATGTTTTAAAATGGATTATCTTAACTGGATCCCCTGGTTATTAAACTATGATGCCAAAGCCATGTCCAAATATAAGACTTATACATGCCTTGTATGATAACAGTAATGGTTATAATAGCTTTAGGTTTATCTTTTCAATAATTTGCACACCATGTACTCAAATATTTTTTCATTTTGAAATTTTTTATCCAAAATGTGCTGCAACATCTATTTCAGACAGTGACTCTCTATTGAGAGTGCAGATAAGGTGACAGGAAAGTAATCAGACTTACTCAGGACACGTAAAGATTGGTCACTCATATTATTAACAGCCTGTGCAAATGGAACCAGCAGAATTTTCCAATTCATAGAATCATGCATCACAGGACACTGTGGGAGCAGAAGGAAAATTGATACCGCTTCTTGGTGTGGAGAATGAGAGGGAAGAGCGCTGAGTAGATTATCCTTGAGACATGTAGTTATCTGCAGTTGAAATAGGATCAGAGAAAGAAAGGCCCATGATAAGTTTTGGGACCATGGGTTTGATTCCACCACTTTCCAGCTGGAATGATTATTTTAGTTTTCCTGAAACCTATTGTTCATCACTCCTTGCACCCTAAATGTCCCTGAAGTAGTGTGTGAGAGCCATCCTCCCTACTTAATATTGCAGTGCATACGGTGCATAAAAGTGAATCATGTGTGCATGTCATACTGAGTGACTTGTGAAGGTAGCTCAGTTACAAAGTGGCAGAGTAGGGATCCATACCCAGATCTATCTTACCTAAAATCTACCATGGCAGAGAAAATGCCATATGCTCACCTCACCAATCATGTTTCATCTTCCTCCTGGGTTCACAGAAAGATGGTATTTTTCAGCTTCCCCTGCAGTTAGGTGGGTCCATGTGACTGAGTTCTCGCTGACGCAATGGGAGTGAAGGTGATACATGACACTGCCAGGCATGGTGCCCCCACAACGTCTCATGTGAACTTACATACTCTCTTTCCTAATCTGCCAACCAAACACCAAAGATCTACTGAAGGATTTAATGGCCCCAGAGCCTAAAACTCTAGACAGAAGGAGCCCGAGTCCCCTCTTCAGAGGTGGGAAGGGTAGCAGAATACGCCACCCCAAAATATGCCACTCTGGCATGAGGATCATTTTGAGCTGAAGGCAAGTGAGAAACACAGACATAGAGCAAGCTTCTGGCTTCCCTCCATCTGCCTTAAAACAGAATAAGGATTCCTTTTGTGAAGATGTCAACTTCCTGTACCAGGAAGGAAATAACAACTTATCAGCAGAGATGATCCAAATGATCTGGCACTGAGAAAGGGTCTACACAAACAAACTTGGCTGACCCTTTTCTACCATTAGTTTCCCCAAATATTTGCGTTTCCACAATTTGGTGCCTCCAGAAGCTCAAAGTCCTTTTCCTTTGTCTTGTCACTTCTTTACAAAATTATTGTACTAAGATACTATATAAGCCCAAGTTCTTACTGCACCTTTAAATTTCTCATGAAGTGTGTATGAAGGATGCACCCTGGAACAAACTTCTGTTTGTTTTTCACCTATGAATGTCTTTTCTCAGTCTAATTTGTAGGGCCCCAGCCAATGAAACTAAGTATGCAGTGTTTTCACATTGTTTTACTAAGAACCCTTTCTCATGGAGCATTCCGTGTAACTAGTGTTCTTTGTAACTCATGCTGGATATAGCACTCTAAGTTATTTCCCATATCACCTAAATAAATTTGTTTTTAAAATACACTTAATAAAATCTATTATTCCTCATCTTGAAAATAAAAATGCAGTGTCTATTACACATGATGGGACATCCTCCCCTTTTCCTTTGAAATGTAGGGACCCAAAATGGAATAACGATAACTTTAAACGGAAGACATTTGAGACACAGTTGATGCAGAAAGAAGCCTTCAGAGCCTCTCTTATTTGACTAAAGGCTTCTGAGCGTGAAGCAGCCATAAAATCCCTTCTCTGGGTAGGTGGGCAGGCTCCAATTGCACTTGGATGAGCAATTGCATAAAGCTGTCATATCTTCCATTTGTCCCCCCAGAAGCCAATTTGTCTCTCCAAAAACTGTTTGCTTTCCCTCCCGGCCTCCCTTTCCTTATTAAGCTAGTATACAAACCCTCATCCATAGCTATTCATGGAGCCTTTCATCCAAATGCTTCCACCTGCATGTCAATAAAGGTTGTTTTCTGTGCTCCTGTTAATCTGTCTATTGTCAGTTCTCAGGCTCCCAAACACACTGAACCTAAATTGGTAGAGGGAAAGCGTTCCTTCCAACGCCGCCTACAACAACAAAGCATTAAATTGGAATAGACCTTAAAGATGAACTCAACTTATATAAGTAAAGAAAGTATGACCCAAAGTTTATAAGGGATGAAGGATTTTGTTATCCCACTTCCCAAACTAGTGTTCTTTTCATATGTCATGCTAGAGGTTATTCACCTCCTAAGCACTGGTTTTCTCATCTTGAAAATAAAAATAGTGTCATTTGTACATCTAAGTGTTCAAAAAGAAGAGCCAGCATCTAATGATGGGGGCTCAAGAGTTGGAAAATTTCAATTTCAAATTTAATAGCCAATAAGCATAGCAATCAAAGCATGTAAAAAGCTATTGTTTCAGGAACTGAAGGTATGACCCACTCTGACTCCAGGAGACCACAGGGAGTTTCACCTTTGTGCCCCAGGGGGACTGCAAGCAGTTGAGATGGTATCTGGGCCTTTGTACTCGAGTGAGATAGCAACTCCCCAGGTAGGCAGATAAAGAATGCTGCAGCTTTTTATCTGATTAACTTTTCCCTTGAATTCCAAACCCCTTACCTACACTTTTCTTCTCGTTATAAAAAAGGTCAGTTCAAAATAGAATGTAAGACAGTCTGTTAGAGTATATAACCTGCCATCTTCTCAGATCTCTGGCCAACTGAATAAGGCGCCCAGAAAGATTCAAACCCTGTCTCTGCTTAGTGGTTCTGGTAATTGAAAGGGTCAGGCCAGTTTCCCAACTCACCAGACTGCTCATGACCCAGTCAGGCCAGTTTTCTGACTCGCTGGACTGCCCCTGACTCAGTTATCCCGACTCACTTGCTAGCCCGCAGCTTAATCGAAAATCTGTCTCACTTCGTGCCATAGATGTCTGACTCCAGCCATAATGGCTGGTGGTCAGACTGACCTTCCTATACCTGGGAACAGCCTGGCCCTTTACTAACGCACTGTCCTGACTCACATCCTGAGGCAACCTCCCAGAAGAACAGGAGACTAACCCCTCCACTATCCCCCCACAAACTCCTAGGCTTTTTCTTTTAAAAACCCCATTCTTGCCTCCCCACTCCAGGGGGCTGCAGTGGGTCCACGGTCAGCCTGCCTGTAAACAGAGTATCAAATAAAGGTACTTGGATCAGATCATCCAGCTCCTGCCGCCTCTATCTCTCGCATTTCCAGCAGCAGTGACAGGCAGCAGGAAAGCTGGCTTTTCTGGTTTCACTAATACAGTGTCTGAAATACAGCAGCCACAAAATGAACACTAGCCTCTGCTTATCAGCGCACCCCCCACCCCCGACTCAGTTCTCAACAAAATTATACTACAATCGTATTGGTTTCTGTAAGGAAATTCTATTGCTCTATTTCTCAAGTAAATATGGACTATTACCATGAATGAAATCCATTCCTTTTCTGTTAACTTCTTGAAGGTTTCACTTGCCAGTTGTAAGTCCACATCAATGGAATTTGTTCCTCCAGATTCTCTTTGGATAGAAGAAATGTGAAAAAACATAAGTAAATAGAAAAGAACATTTCTAAACTTCATATATCATTATTTAGTTTTATTACATGTCAGATAGAAACTTTTTTCTTAAAGCTTGCCTTTCAAAATAATCAATTTACTTGGCACAAAAACACACATGAAATTTATGTTCTGCTAAAAGAGAGTAACAATATACTATCTCCAGAGTAGCTGCAATAATGGCAAAATTTTGTATGTTGGGTCTGAGAACTGAAAGCATTTACCTCCACTCTCATCGGCACACAGAGAACTGAAACTACATACCCTGCACCCCCAACCCTCCCCCACACACATTCTTTACCATCTACATTTACATTACTTTGGGATTTCACTGTTTCATTAGCATGACTTTACTATTCCAAGAGACACTTGCCCAACCAAATGGTTTGATTATTCATTATAGGAACTTCCTCAAAAGACCCAGTAACTCTTCAATGTAAAGCATCAACAGTTTATGCCAATTTTTGAATCTCTTGACTCACAAATCATAGCCTTGCTGTTTCCATTCATCCAGGATCCTAGTATCTTTTCCCAGTCATAATCAAACCGTAACCTCCCCTTCCCGTATGGAAAAACTTGCCTTAAGCCAAACTGCCAATTCTGAATAAATTTCAACCTGGCCTTCCCCCTCAGAAACACTATTAAATCTTTGTATAAGGTGTTGTGCTGTGCTTCCCTGAGTTGTGTTAGTGATATCTGAGGAATCTCCATTCTGCTGAACTAATTTGTCTTTATGATGTTCTATCAAGAAATATTTTATACTTGCTGGATTACCAATAATAGTAACAACAGGGCTAAAATATTATGCAAATACTAAATCCTGGGAGGATACATTTCCCCTTTAAAAGATGATATTCTTAGTGTAGAAAGAGACTAGAATAGGAAAGAAAGAAGGTACATTGTATGGTAGAGCCCTCAGTTCCAGCCTGGAAAGATGGCAAGGAGAGGAAAGCAAGTGGGAGAAACAGCAGAGGGAAGCAATGTCCTAATTTCTCTTCTGTCTTTGCCCAGAATACATAGAGGTGGACAGGGATGCTTTTTTTGAACTCTAGAAAGATACTGCCCCCATGAGCTGCCAGTGGGAAGCAATGACAGTTGACTTCCTGGGGCTTCTCTGGCTCCCAGATGAAGTCATTGGAGTGGCTGGAATGCAGCTGGCTTAAGGACCAATGGGACAATAATACAAAACAACATTGGGTGTAAACTGTAATTGGAAAAATTAAAAAACAAAAAATAATAGGACAACTGTGGGTTGTGTAGGGGTAAGTAATGGCTTCAATAGGAGTTAAGCAAGCGCCACCTAGTGGCCAGGAGGGGTTACGAGATGTGTACAACCAGTATCATCTGAACCAGGGAGCCAACTTGAGGCCAGCTCAACAAAGGGAGGGACAGGACCTGACCTAGCAAAGGACTGGAGTGAGTTATATGAGCTGCAGGTTGACCAGCAGGGCACAAGCCTCCAGAGAAGGCAGAGGGCAGCCTAAGGGCCCCTTCGTGCTGCTCTCTCCCCATCTTCTCCTTTATATACTGTTAAATTGATAAAACAAGGAAACCATTAGACTGTGGTGACTCTCATGCCATGCAGGCCCACATAAACAAACGAAAACCTAAGCTTGTAAATGCTTCCAAGTTATGACATCAAAACCTAAAGACAACCAGTCACAAACAGCCAACTGGGCTTAAAGCTATATATAGCCAATCAAATAATTTTTTTTCTTTGCTTCTGAGGCAGGAGATAGTCAGGAAGGAGGAAACTCCAGAGGTGCCCCAGGGCTAAGATAAAGAACATGGATAAAGGGCAGAGACCCTGTTCTAAGACTGGTAGTTTCTGCATCTGAAAAAGCACTGAATCCTAGTGAATCAGGAATGTACCTGTTCAGAAGATGCTACCTGACCCCTGCTTCATCATAATAGCATTATGATAAATTAGCATTGTGGGACCCCCTTCCCAGTAGCCAATCAAGGAAATCATGGGAGACCCACCCTAAAGGAATAAAAGCCCTCTAGTCCCTTCAGGGCTGCTGCTGCTGTTAGGCTCTGCTCTGCTCTGCTCTGCTCTGCTCGGAGTTGGCCTGCTCCCATGTTCTGTGTGGCTTAATAAATCTGCTTTCTCTTGCTTTCTGCTATAAACTCTGTGTGTTTGGTTCAATTTTTTGTCCACGATCACCAAGAACCTGGTTACCTGTGCCCACCTGTGACACTTCTACACTTTCACTACATCAATCTTTCCCCTAGTTCATGTCAGCAGAGTGCTCCTAACCCCTTCCAGTTTGGCACTATCCCACTTGAACTAATATTTGCTCAAATAAACTCTTAAAATGTTTAACATGTCTCAATTTATCTTTTAATGGTTTAGTCAGAGTACTGATGAATACAGAAGGAAGGTAAGAAATAGAAGACCAAATCTTGAGCATTTCACAAAGAAATTGTTTAAACTACTTGGTTAGACCAACTGTTAAAAAAAAGTTAGATTTTCCTCTGTAGTAGTGACACTAAAGATAAAATAAATAGGACCTATTTTCCTCACCACAATAAGAACTGAAAAGCACAGCCTTGGCCTCTAGGTACTAGGGCAATGAAATGATACTCATAAAAAAACAGAGATCCAGAAAAAACCACCATTCCTCCAACAGAGAACAAAGGAGGGCAAGATAGAGAAAGTAAACAATGTGAATTAGGTATTACGACTTAATAGTGGTCTAAGAAAAAAATCACCTCACAAAATGGAAGAATTCTGTAACAACTCATGGAGTTTTGTGTTGGACTTTTTGTGTGTAGACAGCAAAATTCACAAATTGAAATGGCTGACTCGAAAGATTTCATTGAAAATATTCCCCAGTGTCTTAAATGAAGGTAAATCTCATGTAAATATTACCTTTTCTTTAAAAAACTTGCAGTCAGACAAGCAGGAGATGAAAATATCATTCTAATTTCACTGCAAAAGTAATAACATAAGGGTTAAGTCATAACATACTGTAAAGCATGCCTCCTTTTATCTCATGTCTGAATATGTAACTGATGATGCGTAATCATTAATAATGAAAATAACAATTCTGCTAAGAGTTCTCCAAATGGTGGTTATACTTTGTGCATGTGACTACTAAATCCCACCAACAGCCTTCATAGTTGATTTGGTCAAGTCACCTAGACTTAAATAAAATCCATCCTTTTGAAAACAGAAATTTAGGGAGCTCCAGAGAGTAAACTATGAAGATATTTAAAAAATAGTTCACTTTAGGGAAGATTTTGTGAGTCAGAAAACATTTCTGATTAACTCTTACATCTCCCTCACCTTTCAAGGTGCCTGGAGTATTGTATGACCTCAAAAGAGGGTGGAGCAAAAGTAGGTTTACAGCTGTGAGTTTGTGAAACAGAGTTTACTCTTGTATTATTATTTATTTATTATTGTACTATCTTTCATACGAACACCTGTAAACCTACTTTTGCCCCCACCCTGTCGGTATACCTCTGTTAAGTCAACAATAAGTCAATGAATAAGTCAATGATTTCTTCGAAATAAAAGGTGGCAGACAATCACGGGAAATGCAAATGCCTTCACAACAAAGCCAAACCCTCTCTTTTATGTCTCGGATAAAATGACCTTGGCTTCAGAACCAAATAAAAGTGGTTTATAATTCAGACAGAGCCACCTCTTAGCCACTTCATATTCGGTACTTCCAACTGTCACTGTCATCCATCGTTCCACCTGGGACTGGTTAATTCGGCTTATTTCTGGCAAGGTTTTCTTGGAAACGTTTGTGGGACAAGTACCCTTAAAGGAAAAAATAAAATAAAAGAGCAATCAGAGACATGCACATGTGCCAAGTAACAGATAACCCAGTAAAGCTGGTAGACAGGACCAGCCCTCTTAGATAGTGGGGTTTGGTGGGAGGAGCTATGACGTCAGACTCGTCTGGTTGTTCCAATTCCTAGCTTTGGCCACTTTGCTTGGTGTGAGCCTTAATTTACCATTTAAAAAATGGGATAACACAAAAGTATTAAAAACAAGAACTCAAATAGATAGTCTGTAGGCCAGTATTTATTGCAGCAGTATTCACAATAGCCAAAAAAATGTAAACAACCCATGTGCATTAATAGATGAATGTTGTATATATCCACACACAACGAAATATTATTCAGCCATAAAAAGGAAGGAAATTCTGTACCTGCTACAACATGGGTGAACTTTGAAAACATGCTATGTGAAATAAGGCAACTGCAAAAGGACAAATATTGTATGATTCCACTTACGTTAAGTAGACACATTTATACATACACAAAAAGATTACAAGTTACCTGGGATGGGGGTAGGGAGAATAGGGAGTTAATATTTAGTGTTTACAGATTTTCTGTTTGTGGTGAGGAAGTTTTGGAGATGGATAGTGGTAATGGTTGCATTCAACAACATTGTGAATGCAATTAATGCCACTAAATTGTTCACTTAATATTGGTTAAAATAGCAGATTTTGTTATATAGATAGATAGATAGATATAGATATATAAATATATATTTTACCACCATAAAAAAGTGAGATTACAATATCCAATACCTACCTCCTTGGGATCTTATTAAGATTAAGTGATATTAGGTATACAAAGCTTTAGATTATAACAGATAATAAATACTAGTTTCTCCTCTTTAATCGGTCACATATTTTTACCTTTATATCGAACAATTTCAAAACTTCAGCGTACAACAGAATCTCCTGGTGATCTTGTTCAAACATAGATTGCTGGGCCTATCCCCACAGTTTCTGATTCAATATAGCAGGGGTGGAGCTCAAGAATATGTATCTGGTGAATTCCCAGGTGATGCTGATGTTGCTGATCTGGGGACCACACTTTGGGAACCATGGGTCTATACAACACTTGAAACCAAATGGCTCAGTCAGAGAGGTGTCAGAAATCACTGTCTTGGGAAGAATAATATAGTCTTCCAAAGACATTAGTGCTCTGCTCTATATTGTACCTTGGTCTCCACTGAACTTGTAATGAGTCAGGAAGTTTGCATCACTTTTGTTTAATGCTTAAATAAAGGCATTTTGAAAAAAAATGTGTACCCATGACTCCTAAGTTCCCTACAGTTTCTTTATCTGAGTGCTGGGTATCCTCTATAGTTCAGTCATGAAGAAGATTTTTTTCTTCCGCATCCCAGGAACTTTTGGACAATAAGGTGCTCCCTTCTGGCACCTACATATCATTTCTTCTACTTTCTACTTCAAAATTCTGACTTCTCTGAAGGGCATGACATCAGACTATCATCTGCCTCTCCTATAATCATCTCCCAATGTCCTAGTCACTACCCCTCAATCACTGAAAACTTTAGCACCTTGCTATCTTTCTCAGCACCACTGTGCCTGCCATCATTCTTCCTGTTATTCCTGGCAACTTCAGAATCGATTAACACATTTCCCACATTGACCTCTCAGTTCTTGATCTCATCTCCAATCTTCCCTTCCGCTCCACTTCAGCCACTCATGCTCTGGATCAGGGTTTCTAAAACAACGCTACTGATATTTTGAGTCAGACAATTCTTTGTTGTGAGGGGCCGTTTAGTGCACTGTAGGATGTTCAGCAGCATGCGTGGCCTCTTCCCAATAGACGGCAGTAGCAGCCACCCCCAACATGCATGTCTCTCTGCAGTTACAATGGTTGTTCACTCTTTCTCATGCATCATTACTTTTTCCAGATGAAATGGATCATTCTCACTGGCACACAGACATATCTCACTATTACCTCTCTAGACAATACCAAAACCCTCCCATAGTTCTCTACTCCCCTTCACAATAAAACTCAGAATTGTCACAGTCATTGTTTCTACTTGCTCCTTTCCTACTCTTTGTCCATCCCGCTAAATCAGGTTTCATCCATTCTTTTCCCTGAGATGACTCAGTCTTAACAAAGCAAAAACAAACTCTGATTATCTTACTTCATTCACTGCTCAGCAGGATGTGGCAGTATGGGCACTTCCTCCTTCTAGAAATAGTTCATTTATCTTTTGGCGTGAGGACACCCCCCCACCCCCACCCCCACCCCACCCTGTGTTCTCCACCCTAGAAACTGGTCCTTCTCAATCTCTTCTTCTGGCTCCTCCTTATTGACTGACCTATAAATGGAGAAGCCCTCAAGGCTGGTTTTTGTTTCCTTTCTCTTCTCATTTTTACTTTCCCTCTAGATGGCCTTTTATCAAGGCCCCTAACTTTAATACCATCAGGAGTTTGATACCCTGTTTATATTTTAGTGCTGACATCCTCCCTGAGCTCCAGATTCAGCCATCCAACTAAACTCCCACGTCCTCTCCAGAGACATTTCAAACTGACCCCATCTCACAAAACTGTTCCCACCTTAACATCTCTGGCTCCATCTCAGAATTCTTTATCCTTTCCTACCAAGCTCTGTCTGACTGGCTTTCTTTCTGTTCCTCACACAGACCTAATGTACTCTTTCTTGCTCCAGGGCTTTCTACTTGTCCTTCCCTCTACCTGAAATGCTCTTTCTCTGGATCTAAGCTTGGCGAAAATTTCTGCTCAAATGCCACAACCTTCTCTGAGGTCTTCCGTAACTGACATTTCTAAAGAAACCCACCTCAAACAACCTATTGTGTTTTCCTCAGAGCACTTGTCACTCTAACGCAATCTTATTTATTTCACATTCCCATGTTTATTATTTGTCCTTCTGTGTAGACTCCAACTGTCATGAATAAGTGCAACAAAGAATATTGTTTATCAGATACAAACGATAGAATCCTCGTATTATTTACTTTCATCCCAAGCACCTTAAACACAGGAGGCACTTGTTGACTGGCCGACTGAATGGCTATGGCAGAGCAACCAAGTACAGTCTCCTGACTACCCCCAGCACCTTTACTTTTCACCATTTTCTGTCCCAGGGGATATAGGAAGGGCTATATGGATATCAAGTTTAAAACATTCCTGATAATAGAAAAAAGTACAGATTAGGAAAATAACTATTACATGCATGACTTTGTCTCCACACAAACATTTCAGAATTCATCCAGAAATATAATAAAATTCTCTGTTAACAATTAACAATTAGGAAAGCACTAGCGTGGTGGGCAACAGTATAAACTTTGAGGCTGGATTGCCTGGGCCAGAAGCAGCTCTGCCACTCCTTAGCAGTGCAACTGCGGGGGAGTCTACCTCTCTGAGGCTCAGTATTTTTCATCTGTAAAGTGGAGGAAAATAATACCAACTGGAGTTGATATTAGGATTAAAAGTGTTGATCCATTTGGAGCACTCAGATTGGTGCCTAATTCATGATGATTACAACTGACATTAGTCATTACCTTTATTATCATTTTTAATATTCTGACTTAATAATAAAAAGCTAGTGGGAAGGCAATGAATCTGGGGGTCTCAGCTGTTACAAAACCAAATGAGAAAGTGAGAATTACATAATTTTTAAAAAACATTCTATGAGAGGATCTTATTATTTAAGAATTTGAATATATACAAATGATACAATATTTCAAATAGATTTCCTCTTAAATCTAGAGGAAAAAAATGATTTTTAAAAGAAATAAAAGTGTAATAGGTACCTGATAAGTTGTCACAAAATTGGCATACGTTCCAGCAAAAATGTGTTTGACTTGAACATCCTTAAGGTCTATAAGAAAGTGATAAATCCATACTTACTGTTTTTATAAGTAAAAAATCTGTTGTAAACCTAAAACTACTTTTAAAAAATAGTCTTTAAAAAAGTCTAATGTATTATCAAGCCAAATTTTCTTATTTATAGGCAGTTTATATTATTCTAAATGGATTTGGATTACAAACAGCAGAAAAAGTTGGGATCAGGTTACATGTCATATATTCACTTAGCCAAAAATTTAATTCTCACACACTTGTGTCATGAAACCAGGCTGATACGCTTTAGAAGAGGTTTGATTAAACATATAAAAGTGTATTGTTCTGATGCTTAAGTAGCCAATTTGGGATCTTCTTTTGTATTAGCTTAATCTTTAGACAAAGTTACCAAATACTCCAGGAATCACAGCATAAGAAAAAACGCATATTTTACAAGTGAAAAAAATAACAGTACTAGGTGAACTATAGTTCTGTGCACTCCTTTGAGAGAAAGCTGAATAATACTTCTCTTGCGGTGGTATCAATTAACAGAAAATCATGAGTTAGTGGGACCAGTCATACTACCAGCAGAAATCAGGCAGCTAATGTCAAAGTTGTCCATCTGGGCCTTCGGATGAGTTGGGTTGTTTGTGCAACTTGATCCACGACCAAAAGACACCACCTGACCAGTAGTATAGACATATGCAAGGGTGTGGTAACTGCAAGAGAGAGAATACGTAACATGAAGACCAGGATACGCATGCTTTCTGAGAAAGATGATGTCTCAACACACACACAAAAATAGATTTATTTCATACTTAGTATGCAGATGCCTTACCAAAATGTCAGGGTTTGAGGGTCCATATGATGTGGCTAAATAAATGGTAGGTGAATATTAATTTATTACTAATCTTAAGCATAGAATATTTTTGATGGGTCTTTACTATGGTCTCTATCACTTGTGTTTTAAATGCACATGTTTTATGAATTAGGCAGATGACACTCAAAGTGTCGTCATAATTGGGTTATGCAAAACTGAATGTATATGCAAATACACATCTTCTACATGCACGAGCATGAGATTAATTTAGTTTAATATACTCAAATAGAAAAGTACCACTATTTTTGTCATAAACCCATTCCCTGCCCCCCATACGTAGTTAGATGGTCTAAAATACAGTAAACTTCCAATAAATTCCTATTAAACAAATGAAAAGCCTAGGATGAAAAAGAAAGAAATGGGAAAATTAAACTGTATTTGAAAAAAGTAAATTTCAGAAAAGGAAATTATATATATGAAATAGCCAAATATCGTAGAGTTTTAAGTTTTGATAACATTCTATATGGGTCATTTACATAATTTATATATTATATATTTACATATAATATCTTTATATAATACATAATTCTTATACATTATATATAATATATTATAAACTATATATTATATATTATAATGTAAATATTATACAATATAATAACACATAGTATAAATATATAATATAAATAATATAATATAATTATATAATATAATTTTGTTATGTAATATATAAAATATTATACATTTTATAATATATAATATAATTATATATTATATATATAATATAGTTCACAGGCCAGTGCTTAATGCACTGACCCACACCAGCCAGGGCAATTTAATATCTCATATATAATATAATTATATATTATATTATATATTATAATAATATATATCAATATAATATAAACATAATATAAATATAATATATAATTATATATTATTTATATATAATTATATATTTATATATAAAATTATATATAAATATATATTTATATTATATATAAATAATTATATATAATTATGATAAATATATAATATATAATTCTATGTGAATTATATATTATATGTATATAGAATTATATACATAATATGTATATAATGTGTGTAATTTATATATGTATATAATTCTATATGAATTATATTTACATTAAATTATATTATTTATATATAAATTACACATAATTATATATTTTTATATAATTATATAATATAATATAAAATATAATAGTTTCTAGTCATGCTTAAAAAGAAAGAAGCCTCTTACCTTCCACAATCTATCTGTGAAACTAGGCCATCTATTTTTTCCACGTGTTGTGGACCACTCTTCTTAGCAGTGGGGCTGTGTCCCAGCTGTCCCTGGCTATTGTCTCCAAATGTAAACACTTTCCCATCCTGCCCAAGAAAAAGAAACAGAGCTAATTTCAAGTAAAAAAAAAAAAGCAACTAAAAAGAGATTATGCCTCGACAGAGTTATATGAGAGCACAGTGTGAAATATATGAGTATATAAGCTCTAGAGGAGAGCTGTACTTACTATTTCTTTTTTAAAGATTTTTATTTATTTTTATTTATTTATGTTTAGACAGAGGGAAAGGGAGGGAGAAAGAGACAGAGAGAAACATCAATGTGTGGTTGCCTCTCATGCACCCCGCACTGGGGACCTGGCCTGCAACCCAGGCATGTGCCTTGACCGGGAATCAAACGGGCAACACTTTGGTTTGCAGGCCAGCACTCAATCCACTGAGCCACACCAGCCAGGGATGTACTTACTATTTCTAATGGTGAATATAGAGTTAACACATTAAACACAAAAAATCATTGGCACTCCATTAAGAATTAGGAACTTTATACATGTATGTAAATTAACTGGATGGACAAATTAACTGGTTCAAAAATAACACTAACATTTATTTATTTGTGCATTCCTCTGAGAAACAACCTCTTTTTAAAAGATGATTCCTTTTAAAATTTATTTTTCAGTTATACTGGACATACAATATATTTTTTTAAGCTTTTATTTATTTAGGTTTAGAGAGAGGGAAGGGAAGGAGACGGAAAGGGAGAGAAACATCATTGTGTAAGAGAGAAACAGTTGCCTCTCACAGGCCCTCAATTGGGGACCTGGCCGACAACCCAGGCACGTGCCCTGACTGGGAATCAAACCGGCAACCTTATAGTTCACAGGCCAGTGCTTAATGCACTTACCCACACCAGCCAGAGCAATTTAATATCATGCATACACATAGTGATTAGACATTTATATACTGTATGAAGTGATCACCCAAGTAACTCTATAACTCATCTGACATTATATATAGTTATTACAATATTATTGACTATATTCCCTGTGCTGCACTTTACATCCCCACAACTATTTTTATAACTGGCAAGTTGTACTTCTTAATCCTTTCACCTTTTCCACCCAGTCCTCCAACCCCTATCCCTTCTGGCAACCATCAATCTTTTTTCTGTATCTATGACTGGGTTTCTGTTTTGTTTATTAGTTTATTTTGTCCTTCAGATTCCACCTATAAGTGAAATCATATGGTATTTGTCTTTCTCTGTCTGCCTTATTTCACTTAGCATAACACCCTCTAGGTCCATCCATGTTGTTGCAAATGGTAAGATTTCATTCTTTTTATGGCAGAGTAATATTCCATTGTATATGTATACCACTTCTTCTTCCTCCATTCATCTATAAATGGACACTTAGGTTGCCTCCATACCTTGGCTATTATGAATAATGCTGCATGAATATAGGGGTGCACATATCTTTTCAAATTAGTGCTTTGGATTTCTTTGAATAAATACACAGAAGTGGGTTTGCTGGGTCATATGGTAGGCTTTTTAAAAAAAAAAGTTTATGTATTTATTTTTAGAGAGAAAGGAAGGGAAGGAGAAAGAGAGAGAAACTTTGATGTGTGAGATAGACATCGATCAGTTGCTTCTCACACATGCCCCAACTGAGGACTGGGGCCCGTACAGAGACATGTGCCCTGACCAGAAATTTAATCAGTGACCTTTCACTTTGTGGGATGATGCCAAACCGACTGAGCCATGCCAGCCAGGGTAGGTCATGTGGTAGTTCTGAGTATGTCAGCTGTCTCCCGCTATTGGCTTCTAGTGGGTAGAGGCCAGGGATGCTGCTTACCATCTTCCAATGCATAAGACAGCCCCACAGTGAAGGATTAGTTGGCCAAAATGTCAAAAGTACCAAGAAACTTTGCAAATCATTTTTGACACGTTCAATCAGTCACAGCACCTTCTCCATACACTGCACAAATCTTTTTATGTGTTTCAGTTGAGGTTTTACCATTCTTGAAACAACAAAGCATAATATGCCAAAAATGTTGCATATTTTCTTCCATCTTCAATATTAAAATAGCTGCACAAAAATTCACCAATTTTGATATTTTTTTTTTTCAATGCACACTCATATGACAGCTGTCACAATGCAATCTAACAAAACTGTTTCGAATGAAGTTAAAGACAACTAAACACTATTAGAGCCATCTTACGGAAAAAAATAAACACCTTTTTGGCCAACCCATTATCTGTCCACTTTCCCCAACATCTTTTATTGAAGAGGCTATCTTTACCCCATTGTACATTCCTGCTTCCTTTCTCATAGATTAATTGACTATATATCCATGGGTTTATTTCTGAGCTCTCTATTCTGTTCCATTAGAATATGCATCTGTTTTTATGCCAGGGCCATGCTGTTTCGATTACTATAATCTTGTAGTATAGCCTATTTTGCTATGTATAATGCCCTCTCATGTATAATGCACACCCACGTGTTTGGCCCAAACTTTTCAGGAAAAAAAATCTTTCGTTTTAATTTTGTAATTCAATTAATTATTTATTTATAATTAGATACAGAACCAATTATCATTTTTATTATTTTGCATACCAATTATTACTTTGCATACAGATATGGTTATTGCTTTCTAGAGTTACACTTTTAATGCATAAGCATAAGAGAATTAAAAACATTTATACAAATATGGAATTAGCACTACCCATGTATAATGCACGTACTTATTTTCCCCCCAAAAATGTGGGCAGAAAAGTGCATATTATATACAGCAAAATACGGGTAATTTGGTATCAGGTAGCATGATGCCTCCAACATTTTTATTCTTTCTCAAGATTGTTTTGGCTATTCAAAGTCTTTCGTGGTTCTACATAAATTTTAAGATTATCTGTTCTAGTTCTGTAAAAAAGGCCATTGGTATTTTGATAAGGATTGCATTGAACATGTACATTGCTTTTAGTAGTATGGACATTTTAATGATGTTAATTCTTCCTACCCAACTAGCACATTATATACTTCCATTTATGTGTATTTCCTCCCATTTTTTTCTTCAATGTCTCAGAGTTTTCTGAGTACAGATCACTTACCTCCTTGCTTAAATTTATTCTTAGGTATTTTTTTGATGCAATTGTTTTCTTAATTTTTCTTTCTTATAGTTTATTATTGGTATGTAAAAATGCAGCCAATTTCTGAATATTAATTTTGTGTCCTGCTAGAACTGAATTCATTTATCAATTCCAATAGTTTTTTGGTAGCATCTTTAGGGTTATATCTGTATAGTATCATGTCATCTACAAATAATGACAGTTTTACTTTTTTTCTAATTTGGGTAAGTTTTATTTCTTTTTCTTGTTTGATTGCTGTGGCTAGGACTTCCAGTACTATGCTGAAAAAGAGTGGTGAAAGCAGGCATCCCTGTCTTTTTCCTGATCTTAAAGAAAAAGCCTTCAGCTTTTTACCACTGAGTATGATGTTAGCTGCGGGTTTGTCATATACTGTCTTCATTATGTTGAGTTATGTTCCCTCTACCCCAATTTCTGACAGGTTTTTTTTATCGTGAATCAATGTTGGATTTTTTAAATGCTTTTTCTGCAACTATTGATATGATCCTATGATTTTTATCCTTCACTTTGTTTATGTGGTGTATCACATTAATTGATTTGCAGATATTGAACCAACTTGGCATCCCAGGAATAAATCCTACTTGATCATGGTGTATGATCTTTTTAACATATTGCTGAATTTGGTTTGCTAATATTTTGTTGAAGATTTTTCACTTATATTCATGAGAGATATTGACCTATAATTTTCTTTTCTTTTCTTGTAGTGCCTTTGTCTAGTTTTGGTGTCAGGGTAATAGCGGCCTTCTCTTCAAATTTTTGTAATAGCTTGATAAGTATAAGTATTGTTCTTTGAATATTTGGTAAAACTGACCTGTGAAACCATCTGATCTAAGATTTTTGGTTTTTGATTACTGGTTTGACTTCATTAGTTTTTTGATTACTGATTGATTTCATTAGTTGTTATTGGTCTGTTCAGATTTTCTGTTTCATCCTTGTAGATTGCATGGTTGTAGCCATTTATCCATTTCTTCCAGGTTGTCCAATTTGTTAGCGTGTAGTTGTTCATGGTATTTTCTTATAATCCTTTGTATTTTAGTAGTGTTGTTTGGTCACTTCTCTTTCATTTCTGATTTTATTTATTTGAGCCCTCTGTCTTTTTTTCTTAATGAGTCTGGATAAAAGTTTATCAGTTTTATTTTTTATCTGTTTACCTTCCAAAGACTGAGCTCTTGATTTCATTGATCTTTTCTCTTGTTTCTCTTTCAGTATCTACTTCATTTATTTCAACTCTTACCTTTATTATTTCTTTCCTTCTACTCATTTTGGGCTTTGTTCTTCTTTTTCTAATTCCTTTAGGTATAAGGCTAGATTGTTTATTTTAGATTTTTCTTGTTTCTTGAAGTAGGCCTATATTGCTATGAATTTCCCTCATAGATCTTCTTTGACTGTATCCCATAACTTGGGTCACTGTGTTTTCCTTTTCATTTATCTCAAGGTACCTTCAAAAGGGGATTCTTGATTAAAACAACTCTAGTTTTCTCTTGTCAACTGAGAATAATATAATCCAAACATGCTTTTCAAACAAAGTAAAAAATTATTTTAGATATTTAATTCTTAAGTGAACATTTCAACCATACAGTTTTCAAGTCTATTGTTTATGGCTATGGAAATAATCCATCACAATGGAATATACTATATGGTCAGCACAAAAAGAAGAGGAAAACATCCAGGAAGCTAGCTGATATCTGTAACAACCAAGAAGTGAAACAAAATATGTTCTAGTCTGTAATGTGGGTTACTGAAAATTGCAAAAATTACTTTGTACTTCTATAATAATTTTTATCTGTAGAATCACACCATGAATAATTTCTAAAAGGACTGGCTCTCCTATTAATCTAATTTAGCAGGTATCTAAAAATATATTCTAAAGCTGAAATTAGCTTTTGTTATAGGATCTTGAAAACTTCATGGTTTATACTGGGTTAATGTTTCCTCTTAAATATTTGTACACTGAATGGATATGTTGAGATATTTGATCCACATCCTGTTTCCAACAACAATCAATAACTGTATCTTATGGAGACATTTGTCTTGGGTTTTTAAAAGACATTTTTGATTACCTGTGTAAGCACTGCAGTGTGTTCATAACCACAGCTGATATAAATCACATCTAGACTCTTCAGCTCACTAACTGAACGAGGCTTGTAGCTTTGCACTGTTGAAAGAAAGCAAGATTTCTAGAATATAAGAAGCAGACTCAGATATCATGAGTTTTTATACTTTTTCATATTTGTATTACCTTATAATTCATTAACATAATTTTTAGAAGTGAATAAATAATCGGAAGTATTATAAAACAAAGGGAAAGCCCTGATTTAGAAAAGAAAAGAAAAGCAGTTTTTTAGCATTAATTTCTGGAAACTATTGGGTTGGCCAAAAAGTCCATACAGTTTTCCCTCTAAAATAAAAGACACATATTTATTTTCATTAGCAACTTTATTAATTTGTATATTTTGAGATATGCCAGCCATCTACCACCTGGTATAACTTTGACTATTCTCAATTAATATCTCAATTTGATCACTATCAACTTCAACTTGTCTACCCAACCATGGACCATTGCCCAGTGAGAAATCTCCACTACAAAACTTTATAAACCGCTTTTGACATGTCCACAGTCACGGCACCTTCTCTATTCACGAAAAAACTTTTTTTTTTTGGCATTTCAGTTATGTCTTTACCTTTCTTGAAATAATAAAGCATAACATACTGAAAATGTTGCACATTTTCTCCCATCTTCAATATTAAAATGGCGACACAAAAATTCAGCAATTTTGATAAGTTTTTTGAAAAATGCACACTGATATGACAGCTGTCACAATACAAGCTAACAAAATTGTTTTGAATGAAGTTAAAGACAACTGAGCACTACTAGAGCCATCTTACAGAAAAAACAAACTTTTTTGGCCAACCCAATATTTAAACTTTGGGAAAGCCTGAGTCTATTGCCCTAGAAAGCTAAGCTTTAAGACCTTTATCCTAATCATAGTGTCATCATGTTGTATTCATTTCTGTCACACAGTAGGTATTCTGCAAATATATAACAATTTAGAAACTAAAAGAACCTAACTCATTTTGACAAAGTTAAATGAAACTAGATGTAAGTGCTCAGCATGGTACTAGCGCTTAACAGATGCTAAATATATGTTAGCTAAAAGTAAAAAATTGAACAGAGGACAGGGTCCATGGGGAAGACTTCACAGTGAGTTTTGTTTAAAGGTTTACAGAGGAAATGGTTGCTTCCCCTACTACTAGCACACTTCTAACCAAGTGGTTCCCAAACTTTGCTGTACATTGAAATCTCCTATGGGATCTTCATTAATAACTGATGCTTGGCTTCCATCCCCAGACATCCTGATTTAATTGGTACGGGGTCTAATTTGGACATTGGGATTTTTCAATGCTCTTGTGGTAGACAGAATAATGGCCTCCTAAACACGTCCACATCCTTTTCCCAGAGCCTGAAAATATGTTAGGGTGCATGTCAAAGGCGAGCAAAGGAAGCAGATGGAATTAAAGTTGCTAATCAGTTGACCTTAAAACAGGGAGATCACAAGAGTCCTTTCACTGAAGAAAAGGGAGACAGAAGAGTCAATGTTACAGTATGTGACTTGAGAAAGACTTATCCAGCCATTGCTGGCTCTGAAGAAGAAAAAGGGCTATGAGTGAAGGAAGCAGGTGGTCTCTAGAAGCTGGAAAAGGCAAAAAAAAAAAAAAAATGACTTCTGCCCGATAGCATCCAGAAAGGAACATAGCCCTGCTGGCACCTTGATTTTAGCCCAGTGAGACCTGGGTCAGACTTCAGACCACCAGAACAATAAGATAATAAACATGTGTTGTCTCAAGCCACTAAGTCCATGGTAATTTGTTACAACAAAAATCAAAAGTCAATATAGCCCCTTAGGTGATTCTAATGTGCCATAAAGTTTGGGAACCACTATTCAAACCTTTGAGACTGCCCTTCGCAGAGTTGGCCCTTTAACCAAAAAGAAATAATAATTTAGTGCAGGAACAAGACTATGTCCTTACCTGGGACATTATGGCCCCTTAAGGCCAGCTGCCCTGCATTGTTGTTTCCCCAACCAAATGAAGTCCCAGAGAGAGACAGGGCAAAGCTGTGGGCCCCTCCTGCAGCCACCTGAGCCAGCGGGATCCCCGCCAGGGACCTCACCCTCTGCGGGCTGGCCTGGGAGGGAAAATCCTTCCCCAGGCCCAGCTGCCCATGGCTGTTCTTTCCCCATGAAAACACGTGGCCATCTACAAAAACAAAGAAGAGAAATTCAGAATTGTATACACTTTGGAATACCAAATTCAAGGAAAAACTACCACCCCAATTCTAAAACTCTTTAAAGAATAAAACGGGGATAAAAGAGGATAAAGTATTCAAATTAGAGGCAAGGAGGATGGTCAAAGTCACCTTCAAAAATCTCTTCCAACAACATCCTCTCCTCTTCTCCTTCCAAATAAAGGGCACCTGTGTTTTCAGGTGCTCAATCCAAAAATATTGGGAGTCATCCTTGACTCTTTTTTCTCTTTTTTACAAACTCACCAACCCAGCAGATCTTAAAACATCTACCTTCAGAGTTTATCCAGAATCCAGCCACTTCTCACTTCCCCACTGTTAGCATCTTAGCAGCCACGTCACCATCATTTATATCCTGGGAAATTACAATACTTCACTGGACTCCCCAATTCCACCTTTGCCCCCAGTAATCTGTTCTCCAAAGAGCAGCCAGAGTGATCTTTTAAAAATATGCCAGATGGATCCCTTCAGGAGCTTCTAGCTTATTCAGTAGTAGACTGAATCTTACTGGCTCTCAAGCCCCACGTCCCCATTTCTCCCCAAGACCACTTCTCAGTCCTCATCTCTCCTTGCTCATGCCTTTTCAGAGCCCCTGCTATTGCTGATCACACCACTGGGCATCGTCACTTTTGTTTTGGAATCATTCTTCTGGATCGTGGCCTTAGCATCATGTTTCCCTCCCTCTCTTCCTTTTGGTCTCTGCTCATATATCACCTTATAAGAGATAGTTGCCCTGACCTCCTTTATAAGTAGAAAGACCCCTTTCCTCCAACCAAGTACTTGCTCTCTGTCCCTTTACCCTAACTCACTTTTTTTCATGCCCCTTATCCCTGACTGTTAAGTATTTTTCTCTGTGTTTAAGGTTCATTTCCCTACTTCCCCTCACAGTATAAGCTCCATGAAAGCAGGGTCTTAGGTTTGTTCACTGCTATATTCCTCTTTGCTGGAACCATTGTAGGTGCTTGATAAATTCATGTGAATGACTCTATGGGGGAAAAAAACGCAACATTTTATGTTGAATTTGACCAGAGGTGGATAATTAATATCACGTCAAAAATATGTTCTGATGTTTAATTATTTGCCCAGAGAAATGCCAATACATCTCAGACTTTTATGTTATTATATCTAATTTTTGTTTTGAACTCCACTAAGTTATTGAAAAGAATTTTTGAGAGCACACAGCAAAATGTCAAACTCTCATGAAGGTGTAGAACTCACAGTTCACCATTGCAAATGCATTGAGCGCTGGGTTCTACACAGCTTTTACATTCGAGACCAATGTGAAGATAAATCAATACTCCAGGGAAATAATTCAAATCACTTCAGTAAGTAAGAAGGACCATCTGTGATAATATGAATGCACTTTGAGGGCATTATGCTAAGTGAAATAAGTCAGACAAAGACAAATATGGTAATCTCACTTACATGTGGAATGTTTTTTTAAAAAAAGCTCATAGATACCAAGAACAGATTGGTGGTTGCCAAGGGTTGGGGGCAAATGGGTGACAGTAGTCAAAAGGTACAAACTTCCAGTTATAAAATAAGTAAGTTGTGAAGATGTAATATACAGCATGGAGACTAGACAATAATACTGCACTGTATATTCAAAAGTTGCTAAGGGAGTAAGTCTTAAAAGTTCTCAGTACACGAAAACAAACTCTGTAAATATGTATGGTGATGGATGTTAACTAGACTTACTGTGCTGATTATTTCGCAGTGTATACACATATTAAATTGTCATGTTGTAAACCTGACACTAAATAATGTTGTATGCAAATTATACCTTGATAAAAAATATAAATTTTCTAATTTTAAAAAAGAAAAAAGAAAGAAGAAACTAATATTTATTGTATTGTGTACCTTCTCTCACTGACCCTTCTAAACAACCATTAAGTAAGGCATCAGTTTTCCTACAGATGAGAAAATTGGGACTCAGCAAAGTTAAATAACTTGCCGTAGATCAAACAGCTAGAAATGGCTGGCAGAAGGAATCACACTATAGCCATGGGATTGTCCTGGCTGCATAGCCTACATGGCACAGTGATTAAGCACTTAGGGTTCGGATATAAACAAGTATAGGTTCAAATCCTACCTCTTCTATTAGTGTGTGACCTTAGGAAAATTAATGAAAGTCTCTGAGCCCAAATGACCTCATTTCTGAAATGAGGATATGAGTACTACCTAGCTTCTGTGTTTTAGGCGATTGCATGAGACAACACATGTAAAGCATTTAACAGTAGCTGCCACATAGAAGGCAACCAAGACATGTTGGCTCTCCATGGCCCCTGTGATACAATTGTAATTATGTGCAAGAAACCATCTGAGGAACACACAAGTGTTACATGTCTCTTGAAGGGGAACAGAATACGCCACTTTGGGATAAGGATTATTTTGAGCTGAAGGTAACTGAGAATTAACGAATGCATAAAGAGTTCTCTACCCTCCCTTTACCCACCCAAAAGCAAGGCATTCATTTCCTTTTGGGAGGGTGTCCTCTCCTGTGTCAGGCATGGGAGAGGGACCCATCACAGAGATGGAGTGTTAGCATTGACATGAGGGTGAGCAAACAACCTGACCAAAATAACCTTTAAATTTACATTAGTTTCCCCCACATATTCCCAACTCAGTTTCCCACAATTTAGCTCTCCTACCCCAAACCTTCTTTCCTTTGTTAAAATGGTATGTAAGCCCCAGAACTTAACCACTTCCTGAATTTTACTTCTTTTCTGTGAAATCCCATGCATGAAAATACCAATGAAAATTATATGCCTTTTCTGTTAGTAATCTGTCATTTCTTAAATTTGAACTGTTTTTAAAAAAAGATTATATTTATTTTTAGAGAGAGGGGAAGAGAGGGAGAAAAACATCAATGAGTGGTTGCATTTCACATTGCCCCTGTGGGGACCTGGCCTGCAACCCAGGCACGCGCCCACACTGGGAATCAAACCAGCGACCCTTTGGTTTTCAAGCAGGCGCTCAGTCCACTGAGCCATACTAGCTAGGGGTCATTTCTTCAATTTGTAGCCCCCCAGGTACTGAGCATAAGAGTGTAAGGGAAAAATGTTTCTTCCCTGACACTTTCCATTAAGAAATTTGGCTAGAAGATGGACAAAGGATTGGGGATGTTGATAGAAAAAAATGTAGAGTCATGATTTTGACATCTTGACTTTATCTTTCTTTGTTCTAAGGACTGTACAAAAAATAAATAGGCCTTTGCTATCTGAGTTTGCCAGTGTAGACAAGCGTTCAGCATAAAGGACAAAGTGCTGGGAATAAAACCACTTCTGAGTTCTGAGTCAGCCAATCAGGTCATGTAAACAGAGATGGCAGTGAAATGTGAATTAGGCACTACATAAGAGTGTAATAAGAACAAATAAAATTGAAAACACATGAAGAATAACAAAATGAAAGCTGAGAAGTTAAAAAACTTATACATGTATTAAAATGAACCCCAATACATTGAAAATCAACAGGTATCATTTGTATTCAAAAAATTACTTTTTAGTGACACTTAGGAGACCCAAAAACTTTTTTTTTTTACCTTCTGATAATGCCAGGGAATGGTAGTCTCCACAGGAAACTTGTATTATTTTTATATCACTCAGAGTTTTTATCTTCCTATAATAAAAATGATACAAAATCTATTAATCCTTCTTTAGATTGGATTGCCAAGTACAGATACTTAAAACATCCCAAGTAACACATTTGGTCTAGGAAAATAATTTTATGTTCTTGTATTTCTGAAGTAACTTTATCCCAAAAGCTCTGAACTGTTTTTGTTTTTTTTTTAAATGTATTGATTTGAGAGAGAAGGGGGAAGAGAGAGACATTGATTTGTGGTTCCACTTTATTATGCATTTATTGTTTGATTCTTCCATGTGGATAACTGGGGATGGAACCTGCAACCTTTGCATATCGGGACAATGCTCTAACCAACTGCACTACCCAGCCAGAGCAAGCTCTGAACTGTTTTTAATATACAACATCAACATGTACAAAGGTACAGGGAAAATCCGAAATAGTACATAATGTAAAAGTGATTTTTACTGGACTTTTAATGCATTATTTAATGCACTGACATATATACTTACTAGCCTAAAAGAATAAATGTCTTCATACACATATAGCACAAGGCTTTAGAATTTAGAGCACCATCACCGATGTTACCTAATGTAAGCGCTGTGAGATAAATCAACCATTGGGTTGAACTGTCATTTTTGTGGATCAAAAAATAACTATCAGCACTTTCATATGGTTGAACCTAGTAGAACTCAAGGAGGTCAGATAAGTTTCAAGCTGTAGAACTAGACTGAAACCTCATTCTTTCCATTCCAAGTTCAATGATCACTCTCCCTAGCCACAGCGATTTCTCACACAATTTAATAACCATAGCAGGTAATAAGTTAACTTCCTAGTATTAAAAAAAATGCATGTAACTTATGAACAATTACAAAGCATGCAACTGATGAACACAAAATTCAAACTGCTTGTCACAGCATTTGCCCTAGAAAAGCTCTTTGTGAGGATATGATTTTTTTCCTCCATTTTATTAAGTAAGATATTAGGACCCAGGGGCTTATAACAAAAAGGTTATGTTGGGCGAAAAACTTTTTCATTTCTAATCTGGGTGTTGTGATTGGGGTCCTACAATTAATTGACCATAGACAGATTAATAGGAGAAAAGACATGGTTTACTTACATGTACACACAGGAGTAATAAAAACTTTGTGGAATAGCCTGAGTAAAAGTTTATATATATCAACATAGCAAAAGCAGGGATTTCTGGGTTAGAACTCCCATGGGAGAATATGGAAGGTTCTATTGAGATTTTTGATGCTGATTGGACAGTCTGTCTTCACAGCAGCTGAATTCACAGGAAACTTCCTGCCAGGATGGTTAAGAGCAGCTGAATTTTAGGAGGCACTGCTTTAGTCAGACACAGAAATTCAGGTAAGATTGCTTCTGCATCTTCAGTAGCTCAAATGTTTTCACTTTAAAATAATCTTTATGCCAACTCTGGGAATCCAAGTGGTATAAAGTTATTTCCAATAGATTAGATTATGTTCAAAGAATCACATTTTCTCATTTCTTCATGTCCTCCTCCATCATAGAACTCTAAATAATAATTGGTGTTTTAAGTTTTTTCCTGCCTCCTTCCCTCATGACATTGTAATGGTTGAGGTAAAAAACTGTGTTTGTCATGGTCAGCTTTGTACCCTGGCAGCTTGCATGGTGCCTGGCACATGGAATTCAAAAATATTGAATTAATTAATTAATTAATTAATTAATCAAAGAGTTCAAATACTTACTTAGGAGTAAAAATTATTTCCTTAAATTCTTCAATCCCCAGCTGTCCTTCAGAACCAGCTCCCCACGCAAAGACCCTTCCTTTGTGACAGACAGCCAGGGAGTGCTCCTTTCCCACAGCTCACAAGGACAACCTGTAGAGTTTCCAATGCCTTAACTGGTTCTTTGGGAACAAAAAACAAAACAAAACCCCCACAGATTATTAATTTAATGGCAAGTTTAAGACAGTACTTATCTTTAAAAAAAAGGGTCATTCGGATTGCTTGTCTTTTCCAATGGGCTTTTAAATCAAGGCTTAAAATCCATGCTAACGGTGTTAAAGGAAATAGCTCATTGTGTTTTATACTGTCTTTATGGGAATATAACTGGTATTCAGAAGGCTGGGAATAGCAACAGAGGGGAACCTGTAGGAGCTATGACTCTTTAGCTAATGTTTTTTTCTACCATGGTGGTAGCAAAACCCACAAAATAAAGGGAGCCGGAAACAAGACAGGATTGACTCTACTCTTCTGGATTCCCAGCCTCAACAGTGAGAACAGGGAATCCCTTGCTCAGAAGGTAACAAGCAAGGTGCATGTCTCACAAGTGTGAAGTGTGAGTGGCAGACGCCAGATCTCACAACGAAGAGTGCAGTAATATGCCTCTAAATGAGTCAAATGTGCCCTTAAATAAAAACCTGATCATGTTTCCCTACAAGCCAATCTAGGCTGTTTACTAAAGTGTAGTCTGAATTATCAAATGTTTGGAGTTAAGTACATCATTATCAGTAAAGTTTTAGTTAACACTTAAGCTTTCTTTTAAAAACATCTTTGTGATTTTATCCTTTTCAATGATTTCCTTTCAAACTATGCAACAGTAAAAAATTTCCCAAAGATTCATACACTCACAGAAGTAGAAACTGGTACCACCTCCCTGAAGAACACTTTGGCATTAAGTATCATGTTGCCCCTCCTTTCCGCCTGAAGGGGATCAAAATGTGCCACCCAAGAACATGCTGCTTTGGCATAAGGATTATTTTGAGCAAAAAGCAATTGAAAATCAATAGATGAAGGAAGAGTTCTCTTCCCTCCCCTTATCCACCTAAAAGCAGGGCACAAATCTTCCTTGCGAAGGTGTCTCCGCCCTCCCTCACTAACAAGAGTGACTCTCATCTCCAGAGCCGGCACTGGGATGAGTCTGTTTAACAGCCCTTAGTAGAATAACCTTTGTCTTCCACCAGTTTTCTGCATATATTTCCAAGTCACTTCCCCACAATTGATTAGCCCTTATTTTTGTTAAAATTGCAGATAAGCCCGAGTCTAATGACCTCTTAAATTTAACTTCTTTGTGAACTCCTGTGCATCAAAAATATTAATGAAATTGTATGGCTTTTCTCTTGAGAATTTGTCTTTGTCAGTTTAGTTTGCAGGTCCTAATGACGTGATTAACGAGGATAAAGTTTTTGCTCCCAGAGAGTAGTCTTAGAATTTATTCTGAATATGTAAACATAAATTTGTCAAATACCTACAGTAATGTTGAACATACCATTATTTATAAAAGCCTCTCATGAAAAACAAAAAAACTAATTTCCACAAAAAGAGAATAATTAAATTGTACTCTGAGAGCCTGAAATGTTATGCAACAATTTAAAATATTTTTTCAAAAATACATGATGAAAAGGCAATATGTTCATGATACTATGTTTGGTGAAAATGCAGTTTACAGAGTTACATAAATATTGAGTATACAAACTGTATAATGACATGATTTTATAAAGATTAAATATATAATACAAAGAAGCAATAAAGTAATGCGTCAAAATATTAAGAATTGTCTTTGGGTGTTGGAATTATAGGCGATTTCTTCCCCTGTGTTTCTACAATAATTAGTAATTGTAAAAATGCTACTTTATATATTTTCTAATATTAAGAAAAAAGACGCCCGAGGGTATTTCTGAGGAAGTTACAGGCCCAAGATCCACAAACCACATTTATAAGGCCCCTTCCAGAGATTCGCAGGCAAGGATTAAAAGGCAAGTGGGAGGGATCACATCGCTGTTCAGGGGAAAGCGGTCCTGATTAGATTAGTTCGGCACAGTTTCTCTTTCAGTTTTTCTTTGAAGAATTGGAAACCGAAACTAAGCGAGGCGCGTGGGAAAGCGAAACTGCTGGAGCTGTGCTCTGTGTTCCAGTCAGCTGTGGCTCCAGAGTACCCAAGGCTCCCAGCGCCCCCACCTGCCTGGCGCCGCGTCCCGCACCTGTGTCCCGGCGCTCACCTGGCCGGTCCCCGCGCGGCGTGACCCTCCGGCCCAGCTGGCCCCGGCTGTTGTCCCCGCAAGAGTGGACGGTGCCGTCGCTCAGCAGCAGCAGCGAGTGGCGCTCCCCGCAGGCCGCCTGCTGCAGCGCTGCGCCCCGCGGTGGTTCCCGGCGCTGCAGCCTCCCGGGGCCAGCGCTCCCCCAGAAGTACATCCCGCTCCGGCGCATGGCCGCCTGCCAGTGTCAGGCTGCTCCGTCTCCACCGGCTCCCACAGGCAAGTGACGGGTGGTAGGGTGGGTCAGTCCCACCCAAACTTGACCCTGCCGGGTACCTTCCCTAGGAGGACTGCCCTGGCGCTCTACGTCAGCCGGACACCACCCCCGCGGATGACTTTCGGAGCTCAAAGACTTAAAGCCTGGAGCGCCAAGTGCAGAGCGTCTCGGAAGGAAGAGCACCTAGATTTACATCCTACTAAGCTGCTTTTGAGCTGTGTGACACTGGGCAAGTGGCTTCATGATTCTGTGCCTTACCTACCATGTCTATGAAATGTGGGCAGTAATACAGCAAATCTAATATGCTGGGACAATTTAGTAGATAATTCTTAACATGTTCGAGTAATTACTAGAGTGCTTAATAAAAGCCTTTAAGTACCAACCCTCCTCTAGGCTGTTTTTGGCAACGGAAATGCAAAATCTTCATAGTGCTTACATTCTCCTAGTTATAAACAGATAACTAAATACTTAGCGTAAGGTCAAGTGGCAACATGAAGAAAAACAGTAAAGGAATAGGAGGGTAGGGACAGAAGGAACTTATTTTTTATAAGATATCAAGGAAGATAAGAAGTGACATTTGAGCAGAGGAGGGAACTTGGGAAATGAGTCATGCTCATATCTAAGGGCAGAGCAATGGAAAGATTTTGAACAGAGAAGTCATATGATCTGACTTTGCTTTTTAAAGCAGCATTCTGTCTGCTGTGTAGAAGGTAATAGAACAAACATGGAAGCAGAAAAGCCATTTAGGAGAGGCCGCTGTGGAAGTCCAGGTCACAAGGATGCTGCTGGCCCTAAGTGGTATCCTGGAGGGGAGGAGAAAGAACGATTACGGTCATGTTCAGAATGTTTTGAAAATCAGAATCTGAAGACTTGTTAATGGATTGGAAATTGAGGAAAGGAGGAAAAAAAAATTAGGGTTCCTGCAAGGTCGGTCTGAACACCTGGGTGACCAGTGGTACCTTTTATCGGGAGGGGGAACTGTGAGGGAGGTGCAGTTTGGGGCTGGTGGATCAGGACTCCAATCTGGTGATACCTGAGGGGTGCTCGTTGTGAAAGGAGCCAATAAGATAAACTGCATTAGAGTTGTGGAGAGAAGTCAGGGTGCAATCATATGGTGGGCAGACATTATGGGGGACTCCAGCCTGCAAAGTCCCCCAATTCACCGCAGATGGAAGAATCGCTCCAGACACCATTTGCCTGTCAAGAAAAGGGTAAGGCAATTCCTTCTAGTGGGGAATGCCCCGAGCTCCCCTGCTCAATGGCTTTTATTGAAAGGGTTAACAGCAGGGGCTAGGTAGCAGGAATGCATAGGTAATCTAACTATATCAGTATCTTAATGTTTACAGAGTAAGTGATGTTTGAAGAAGAAAAATGGCAGGAAACACACCAAATTGCTTGGTTCCGAGATGAGTAAACATAATGGCGCCAAATGGGTTTTGGGTCAGGGTTCATGAATAATGTAAATTTCCTTCCCAGCGTGAGCTGGTTACCTGGTGTGAGAATAACAGAGCTTGAGGGAGGAACAGAGCATGCTTCAAGGAGTGTAATTTACTTCTAGGCCTGATTTCCCCCAGGGGCCCTCAGAGATATCATTGGGTCCTGCCTATCAACCATATTACCAGTGTTCCGGCCAAGGACCAAGACTTACGGAGCCTCTCCCAGGCCCCAGCTTGTGTGAAACTACAGTCCCCGATGCCACTCAAAGCAGCTCTCTACAAAATCTCAGTATAGAGATAATACTTAAAGCCAGGTGGTTGACTGAGATCATCCCTGGGGGTGTGTATGACTAGCATATAACGGAGAACTGACCTTAGAAGGAAAACCAAGAGGGTTGGTGTGCACAAAACAAGTGAAAATAAGGGAATGATCAACTCTGCAATTGTTTGTCGAGCAGATTGATCTTTAGGTTTGGCAAAATGGAGGTCCTTGTGGACTGACAGTGTTAGCCATTGTCAGCCTTATTATTTTTACTTTTATAGTAGCCATTTATATACTCACAGCTCACCCCTCTTTACTACTACATTTTAAGTTCCCTGAAGATGAGAATAAATGTTGTTTGTTTTTCACTCTTAAGAGTGCCTGGCATCTAGTAGATGCTAATAGGTATGTATTGCACAAATGGTTTGATGAGTGGTGAGTAAATGAATAGCATTCATACTTCTGGCTCCATTTTACAATATACCATTTACTATCTATCTTTTTCTGAATAGTAGTTTCCTAAATGTTTATTACTTTCTTCAGTCACAAACAGAGAATTTGATATTATCAACCTAAGACACTGAGCCCTTATATTATTTAAGAAAAATTTTGCTGAACTAAAATGTAAGTGTATTGTGCTCATTTTGTGTCCCTACCACTCAGTACAGCGTCTACCACATTAAAAGGATTCATTAAATGTTATTGAGTTAAGTGAATAAAATATAAATTAAAGAAATTGTACTATTATTGCTTGAGGATATAATTATTCATTCATTTGTGTTTATGCACTTGGAAAGAGGAGCTCCCATTTATTGAAAGTTTTCTGTGTGTTGATTACTTTATATAAGAGATTTAACTTAATTATTTCATCTGCTTTTCTCGGTTTAGACAGATTTGGTTGCAAGTGATGAATAAAATATGACCAAAGTTCATGTAAGCAAAAGGGAAAAAGCAAAAAATTTAAGAAAAATATTTCAAAATATTTGCTGCTGCTCTCCTCCCTATGGCATCAAGCTTGAGCATGTGAATGTGTTCCAGCCAATGACATGCCAGCAGGAAGCATCTTCCAGGCAGATGGCTTAAGAGACAGTATTTATTTTCCCCTTTCCCCCCTCTATTAACAACAACTGGTGATTATCCTGATAGAGATTACTCCATGATCCTGAGTCCAGGATCAAAAACAATAATTTAGCAGAGTTGCAGCTAACCCATGTAGTAAGAATGAGAAATGAATCTTTGTTGTTGCCAGGCCCTGAGATTGGGGTGAGGGGGTGTTTGTTATGGCACAGGTAGCATAACTTAGCGTCTTCTGACACTCACCTGTCCGCATGGCTGATTTCAGACATTGCTTCCTGTCAGTAAGGATTTAATGTCTTCATGACTCTGTATCCCTTTACTCTGTCTCTGGTTATGAAGGCTTCACCTTCAGGCTCCACAGTGTACTCCACGGTTCCAGAATCTCCTCTGAGGTGTCAGGTTTAGCCCTGATGCCTTCAATGCCCCAATTTAGGTCACATATCTACCCCTGAGCCAGTCACTGTGGATACCAGGAGATGGAGTCAATCACCTGTCAGATCTCTCTGCAATGTGGGGAAGGACTCAGCCATGCACAGGTTCTGAGGGGAGGGGTAGAAAGATTCCTAAATGAAAGCTGGGCCTGTTGCTGGAAGAAGTGGGGGATGGATGCTAAGGACATTAGAAACATGCATCCTTGACATCAATCATGTAGAATAAGTATTAACATAATTCCCGTTTTGTGGGTATGGAATCAAGGTTTGGAGACTTTTGGTCACTTGCTTGAAGTTCCATGGCATGTAAGTGGCAGAATTTTAACACCAATCAATTTGACTAGAAAGCCTATTTAATTTTGACTTTTTACAAAAAGGTTTTATTTATTTATTTTAAGAGAGAGGGCAAGGGAGGCAGTAAGAGAGAAAGAAAAACATTGATGTGTGAGAGAAACGTCAATCAGTTGCCTCTTAGATGACCCCAACCAGGGACCTGGCCTCTGGCCACAACCCAGGCACATGCCCTGACTGGGAATCGAACCCCAGCAACCTTTTGGTTTGTAGGATGACAGTCAGCCCACTGAGCTACATTAGTCAGGGCTAATGTCTACCCTTTAGAAATCAGGGGATTTCTCTTCTAGTGTCCTCCTCAGGTTAATGGCACATCTTCACAACCATTCCATTTAGAAAATCTCAATTCACCTTATATTCCCTCCCCGTCACAAAACCGTCCCATCACCAATTAGCTGATGAGAGATGTAGGCTCCTCTCAGCAGCTGTTGGGGACCACTTTGTGTGGTATTGGAAACAGTAGCCCTGCACGAGCCAGGCCCCGAGAAGGGTCTGTAAGCCCCGACTGGAACACCAGGAATGCTGGAGGCAGATATGACCCATTACTAGCACCAAGGGTTCCTGTGGGAGATTTGGCCTAAGGAATAATTATTCCTGGAACTGAAACTTACTTTGCTGAGTACCGCCCTGATAAGGAAAAGCCAGGTGCCTCACTTCAAGGCTGGAAGGAAAATTCCTGAGCCCCTGAGCCATGCCTTAATGACCACCTGGCTTCAGTATGTTTAACAGACCCTAACCTAAGGCTAATCTGTATGTTCTTTCTATTATTATCTATAATCAAAGTCTGTTTTCTGTTAACTGTAGCCCTCTGATTGATGAGCTGTGCACGTATGCTGTATACCCCCACACATCTCGTTCTCAATTAAAGACACTTTAGAGATGGGCTTGGGGCAATCTCCATTAGAGAGGATCGGCACCCCCTTCTCCTGATAGGCAAACTGTGTCTGGTACAATTTACTTGTTCATCCGTGGCAGCTGGGAGGACTCTGCAGGACAGAGCCTCCCTCAAGCAACATCCCATTTTCTATGCACTTTATATCTCTGCCACTCCTACCCAGTTCAGGTCTTTTGCAATAACTTCTGGCATCTCTAATCAATTTTTTAATGTTCTCCTAAGAGTTATCTACAGAAAACACAATTCTAATCACATCACATACCCTCTGTAATGATTGTAGGCCTATAACCAAAGAAAAAATAAATACAAAATCCTTTGTGTATAACTTAAGGCCCTCCATGATCTGCTTCTAACTGATCTTTCCAGCTGCATTTCACCAACAGTTACAGGCATCAGGGACACACACACACACACACACACACACACACACACACACACACACACACACACAGAGACCACTGCCGCAATGAACAACTCGCCTTTTTCTA